GGGGTTTTCCAACGTCGCACGTTGCGTGACTCTTTTGTTTAATTGAAGGACTTGATGAGACGACGTTGCCAAAAGGTTATTCAGACCTGACCTATGACTAACAGACTAAAAAGTTTTCGAAAGTTAGTCCAAACGCGAGAGGCGTCCAGGTATGGTAATGCTTCGCTTTTGTCGGAGCCGCAGGAATATGCGGACAAGGGGACGAAAAAATTAAACCTATTCTAACTAAAATGATGTCGCGCGGCTGTTAGGGTCTGAATGGGCTAAAAAGGGAGGATGCGCCGGGTATAGGGCGCGACACAGAAGGAATGGGGAATTTTTTTTGCCGCGGAGCGTGACATCGAGCCACGGCGCTGATAGGCCGATGTCACGCGGCCTGCCAACGGGGTAAGGTCTGCCAGCTAGGCCTTCAAGGCCACTGGCGGGCAGGCGCGGCCTGCCGAGCCACAAGCAGGCCTACCGAGCCACGGGCAGGTACGGCCTGCAAGGCCACGATATGGGGGATAGGGACGGGGCGAAGGTCTTCATATAGAAGAGTAGCTCCTATTATTGTTGTGATAGGAGCTAGCCCAGTAGGTTGTAGTAGATGACTTATACACAGTAGGTACTGGGATCGAAGCTAATATATTGTGCCTTTGGGTTAACTACTTTTGGAGCTGGCCACTTTCTTGTCGGCGCGGTTGATGTCGACCGTCGATCGCGAGGATCGCACGGCCGAGATCGGCCGCACGTGAGATTAGCATGGCCCATGCGCAAGGATGACACGCATAAATCGAGAGAAATCTAAATTTTTTTTTTTGGAAAAAAAAAGAAAAAAAAAAAGGGAGAAAAATTTACCTGTCCCGAATCTGGACGCCTAAGCGCTTAGGTACGGGCTCTGTGGAGGTCACATCGTTGAGGTAAGCGCGTCTCTTGTTTTTGTTTTCCTTTTTTTGGTTGTTTTTTTTTGCCACTAGGGCGAAACGGCGCGTCAGAAAGGCAGCTGTTGGGTCAAAAGAATAGGGGAAAAAAAAAAAAAAAAAAAAAAAGGAAAGAMAAAGAAAGAAAAAGGAAAAAAAAAAAAAAGCGAAGCGCCATGTGGCGCGACGTGAAGTGTCTGGGGCACTTCACTCCCGAGGGATCGTGACAGACGCCCGTTTTACGGGCTGCCGTTTTCTTTTGTTTTGTTTTGTTCTTTTTCTTTTTTATCTCTTCTTTTGTTAGATTTGCTTTAGATTTTTGTTAGATTTTATTATTTTCTTTTTTTTCTATTAGTAAGAATTAGTAAAGGTCCGTTCGTTTTCAACGAACGGGATGCTTCTCCTTGTGATAGGTGGAGCAAAAGCGGCTATGTTCGACTGTAGGTTAGGGGCCTAGTGCTTGAAGTGAGGAGCGAACTCTCACTTGAGAAAGCATGACCGTTCCAGACTGTTTTGTCGGACCTCCACCGGCTCATCAGGAGGCTGAGCCTCGACAGTCCATCCACGGATGGACAAGGTCGGATGAACCTGTCGCCCTATGCGGCTACGTTCAAGAGAGAGAGAAAGAGAGAGGGGGAGGGAGGGGAGGGGAGCGACTTACCTGGCGACTGTTGCGACGTGACTACGGCCCAGATAAGTCTTCTTCTTTCTTTTCTTCTTTTTCTTGTTTCGTTTTGTTTTGTTTTTGAATTTTTTTTTTTTGAGTTTCCTGAGTGTCGTGGGAGCACCCATCCGACTTCGAGAACAGGCCACAACACTCGATTGCGCCCGAACCTGGCACCGTTCGCGGCCGGGTGCGGGCGCGTGTTGCAGCAAGGGGAGGGAGGAGCCCCTGTTGAGTTGACTCTAGTTCGATTTCGTGAAGAGGAAGGGGGGGGGGGGGGGAAGTAACGACCACGAACGTGGCCGCGGGCGTAGGACAGGTGCAGCCCCTGGAAGCTTCTAGGGGCTGATGGGACTGCCTGTTCAACAGGCAGTCATGAGATGGCTGCGTACAGCCATTTCGAGTGGCACCTGGCCTGGGAAGCGGTCAGGTGCTCTTTGGAACTGATGGCCCTGGTTCCCCTAGGGGAAACTAAGGCACATGGCTCCTGGCCATTGATTTCGATCAAGGGTCAGGAACACTGACGAATTTTGCCTAGCTGTGGGCAAAGCAGCTGCCCACAACCATCTGCTGGCTATAAAAGTCAGCACTCCACCCAGCAGCATCACACTTGTGGCAGTGCTGCTGGGGCAGTCACTTGAGTGAATGTTGGTTGGCTGTTGCATGTTGCTGGAGAGGGGCGGTGCTGCCGGTGGAGGTGCTGAGGTGGAGAGTGGAGGTCTGCAGGTTAAAGGGGGACATTGCTGGAGGAGGAGAAGGGAGGCTGCCATAGCCGCCGCTTCTTTTGGTGAAGTGCAAGGAAGGCGTTGCCTGCATTGCGCGGCTGCGGCAGCTGGTTTTTGCTACGGTGCAGGGGAGGCTCTGCCCGTTTTGCACGGCGGCGGCAGTGTAATTTTGCCAGTGCTGCGGGAACACGCCGAACTTTTTCGACGGTGGTTGTGCGTGATGGGTAGTGGAGCGGAAGCGCTGCCGAAATTTTGCGGCGGCTACACATGTTTTAACGGCGGTGGCGCGCAAGCACTGCCGGATTTTTGCGGCGGCTGCTCAGGTTCTAACGACAGTGGCGTGGAAGCGCTGCCAGATTTTTGCGGCGGCGGCATTGACTTTAACGACAGTGGTGCGGAAGTGTTGTTGTTTGTTTTTGGCACAGCGGCAGCGACGTTGTCAAGCGGAGGTATTGTCCATTAGGAGGCTCGCGGCACATGCGGTTTCAACCAGGGCCACCTTTATTTTTTTGGCGGCACGCAGCGCAAGTGGGATTTGAGAGTGGGACCGTCCAGTGCTGTGGCGGTAACGTGGGACCGTCAAGGACCATTTTTGGGATCAGGTGGGACTAATTTTGAGATCGGAACCGACATATTGAAGTGACTATTGTGAGCATACGTGGCACTTGGAGACAATGTGGACTTGCAATTGGTTGTGAGTGTCCTTAGTGGGGGTAGTACGGTCGGGATTGTTGGGACCACGTGGGACTCATTGTTGGTAACTCCCTCCTTGAGGGTTATCTCACTTGAGTCTTTCAGCGGAGGCGACTTTCGCTCATACGAGCACTTGGAGGGTGAGGTGGCCGTCATTCAATAGAACGACCACGAGTTGTAGAGTTGTGAGCTGCATATTTCCAGCTTCAACGACGATTGTTTTCTCAACTTTGACTGAAATATTCTTTGGCTTCTTGGGTGGGCCGGATCAAACTTCACTCAAGGTCAGTTGAATGACTCAGATTTCCCTTCACACCTATGTGAACCCGCACTTTGCTTGACCTTGTTGTTTTGAATGTTCAAAAGAAAAGGCAGAGGAAAGTTGTGCGAGTCATGCATATGAATGAAAAAGTCTGACTTGAATATGGGATTGTACTGTTTCCTGTTGAACCTGTTTTCTTCGCATGTTGTGCAGGTAGGTAGAAGGATGCTTGCTATGGAGATTAACTTTGCCTGTTTGGGATGAAGAAAAGGATTGTTATTCTATCTTTCACCTGCCTGCATGGCAAAACTACTTGAATTCTGAAATGGGTAATTTCAACGGGTGCCATGAAAGAAAACTTGTGAATAAAATGAAAATGCAGTCAATTGGAATTAGCATTTCCCAGGATTGACACATTTTATCCTTCTATATCTATACCTGTCAAAGTGAGTCTCATTCTCTATCTCATTCAATTTCTTTACATCAAATTAAGGGGTGAGAATAATTGAAAACTACTTACGAGGAATGCATTCTCTTTCTTTAGGA